CGGGGTTTATCCCCCCCCCCCCCCAGATAAGCCTCTGAGGAGGATTTGGATTATCAGCCGAGGGTGGTGGGCCGAGCGAGCCGAGATCAAACTGTTTGTTTTCCATCACAGGCGATGACAAGGGTGCAGGTGTGAGAGAGCGGGCGCGTCCCGGAGGGGATGCGCCGACACCAAGGTGGATTGTTCTTTCAAAGATGGCGCTGGGCTTGAAGGAACATTCCACTTTGTATTCATACGATTGCTCATCTATCCGTATTGTAACGGCGATCAAACATTACACCTCCGCAGCAGCATCGAAAATCCCCCCAAAATTCCCATTTCTCCTCCTTGCAGCTCCTTGTAGACCATATATGCCGGGAGACACCGCCCCCTGCTCGTGTGATGTGCTCCCTGCACAGAGCCTGAGGTCCAATCACCGGCAGTATAATACATGGACGCTCCTGTAATAAAGACCGGTCACTGCTGCTCTCTCTCCTTGTGCAGGGTGACTGGTCTTGTCTCCGCCCCCTCCTGTAATAAAGACCGCTCACTGCTGCTCTCCCTCCTTGTGTAGGGTGACTGGTCTTGTCTCCGCCCCCTCCTGTAATAAAGACCGCTCACTGCTGCTCTCCCTCCTTGTGTAGGGTGACTGGTCTTGTCTCCGCCCCCTCCTGTAATAAAGACCGCTCACTGCTGCTCTCCCTCCTTGTGTAGGGTGACTGGTCTTGTCTCCGCCCCCTCCTGTAATAAAGACCGCTCACTGCTGCTCTCCCTCCTTGTGTAGGGTGACTGGTCTTGTCTCCGCCCCCTCCTGTAATAAAGACCGCTCACTGCTGCTCTCCCTCCTTGTGTAGGGTGACTGGTCTTGTCTCCGCCCCCTCCTGTAATAAAGACCGCTCACTGCTGCTCTCCCTCCTTGTGTAGGGTGACTGGTCTTGTCTCCGCCCCCTCCTGTAATAAAGACCGCTCACTGCTGCTCTCCCTCCTTGTGTAGGGTGACTGGTCTTGTCTCCGCCCCCTCCTGTAATAAAGACCGCTCACTGCTGCTCTCCCTCCTTGTGTAGGGTGACTGGTCTTGTCTCCGCCCCCTCCTGTAATAAAGACCGCTCACTGCTGCTCTCCCTCCTTGTGTAGGGTGACTGGTCTTGTCTCCGCCCCCTCCTGTAATAAAGACCGCTCACTGCTGCTCTCCCTCCTTGTGTAGGGTGACTGGTCTTGTCTCCGCCCCCTCCTGTAATAAAGACCGCTCACTGCTGCTCTCCCTCCTTGTGTAGGGTGACTGGTCTTGTCTCCGCCCCCTCCTGTAATAAAGACCGCTCACTGCTGCTCTCCCTCCTTGTGTAGGGTGACTGGTCTTGTCTCCGCCCCCTCCTGTAATAAAGACCGCTCACTGCTGCTCTCCCTCCTTGTGTAGGGTGACTGGTCTTGTCTCCGCCCCCTCCTGTAATAAAGACCGCTCACTGCTGCTCTCCCTCCTTGTGTAGGGTGACTGGTCTTGTCTCCGCCCCCTCCTGTAATAAAGACCGCTCACTGCTGCTCTCCCTCCTTGTGTAGGGTGACTGGTCTTGTCTCCGCCCCCTCCTGTAATAAAGACCGCTCACTGCTGCTCTCCCTCCTTGTGTAGGGTGACTGGTCTTGTCTCCGCCCCCTCCTGTAATAAAGAACACAACGCTGATTTTTTTCAAAAAACTGCAACAAATAAAATAAACATAATTTGGGGT